TGTACCTCATAGGTACCCAAAAATGGGTGACTGAAGTGGTGTGACCCGAAAGTCTGACGAGCTAAGGTGTGAAGACCCACTACGGAGTCATTCTCTGAACAAGAGTAGTCGGTCAGAGACGCGAATCGAAGACTACGTCTACCATAGATTCGATAAGTGTCAGCCTCGTCAAGTCAACCTTTTCGAGGTAACCGAATACTCCAAAACAGCACTGATTGCCTAACACAGGTATAGAGGACTGTTAGTACAGTAACTCGTACCCTGAGGGATAGGTAGATGGTGGTGAAAAGAGATATTGTATTTTTACGTTGTGACGTGTCAACTATGCACAACGTGGGAATCAATGACTAAAGATATAAGGTTTTGAGAATGAGGGGAAAGTGGAAAGTGTCGCGTACTATAAAGGGACTGAAGGAGTTAAGCAAATGAAGGTCCGTAGTATGTTACAACCAGAACCTCCAAACTCCTCTATCGCCCATCTCAACTATTCCAGATCTACATGAAGAGCTTGACAATGTTGAAGGCATTGACAACCACATGAGGTTCATGCTCCAATGTTTCCCTCACCACCAAGGACATCTGTCGTCGGAAGCCCTAGTCGCGCTCGCCCAAGGACATCCTTGGAGTGTGGTACATCCTACTCAACCACTTCTGATGGAGGGAGAGTTTCCACGATCCAACGATTCAGGGTACCAAGGCGCGAGCATTTCAGCTGGAAAGAAAAAGGTTGATTGGGACGATACTGCCCCATGGGACGAGAGGTCGTCTAGTGTCGAACAGGGCAGAGACTTCATAGAGGGTGCAGAACTTTCCTTTGGGTTTCAGACCCCCTTCCGAACTAATGCCAAATTCTTTGACACGTCAAGCAGTATCCCTCCTACTCCGTTCTCATCTGCCCCAGGTACAGTACCTGCTCTGGATGTGAGCTTAATGCAAGATGTTACAGTCGGATTAGCCATGCCGTCCTGTACTATCTTTGGAGATAATGTCAGGGACCACAACACCACACCAAATCAATCCTTGTATGCCATGGCATTATCCAGGCAAACCAACCTCGTCAGCCTATCCCAGAACGTTAACAGTTCCTCTCCAGATAAGGGTCAGCCTTAGTGCTTGGAAGTCCAGTCTCAAGACTGAAAAAAGACTGAGACTGGACTGAACCAAGACTGCCCAAGACCGGAAATTCCCAGGACTGTCAAAGACCCACAACTGCAGTCCGGTCTTCGGTCTCTCACAATTTCGGAAATTTGAAGACCATGAAGACTGACAAAAAACCGGTCTAACTGGTCTCAACCGGAACTCGTAACCAAACAAACACAAAACACAAACACAACTCATAACCAAACACAACTTTCCTCCTCCTACCACCACCCTCCCTGTTACCATCACCACCCTTCATGATGACCACTTTGCATCGTGAGCACCCATGATGGGCTAAACAACCTGTATGCTCACACATCGACCGCCACCTCACACGCTGGAGGCTCAGCAACACCCATGGCCACGGTGCACCACATCATCCTCCACAACGCCCCCCCCCCCCCCCCCCCTTGCCAGACATCACCTATGGCCGCCACCGCCCACACCACCAACCACAATGGCAATAACAAACACCTGCCATGCATGACTGTCGTCAACTCTCACACCCACCTCACACCAACCACAAAAACAACAACGAGTGCCTGCTATGTCGACAGCGCATGGAGAAGACCTCCCTCACCCTCTGCCGCCTTTGGCAATGACAAGTGCATGACAACGGCCACGCAACGACGATGGAGATAGATGGATGACGATGACGTGACGTGGCAGCAACGACGGATGATGGAGGACAATGCAAAGAACGGCGACGGCTGACAACGGACAGCAACAAGGAAGTGCGAGTGCTCCCCCCCACCCCCCTCACATAGTACTACAGTGTATTTAGTCAATTATATACATGTTCTCCCTATGTCAGTAGCTCTGAGACTGGTTGAAGACCAGTTGTCAACCAGTTTCAGTCTGAAACTGGTTGAGACCGGTCTTTCAACTGTAAAAAACTGACCAAAACCGCACTGAACCAGTTGACATCAGTTCAGTCCAGTTTTTCGTGGTTCTTCAACCTGCGAGGACCGGTCCCAGTCCCGGTCTTGTCAAATTTTGACAAAAGACCGGACTAGACTGGACTTCCAAACACTAGTCAGCCTCCACAAACAGGAGGTCCATCAGATGCTGGGGGAAATCGTCCTCCTAATGGCAATGGTGGCCCTAGTGGAGGTGGAGGGGGCGGAGGCAGTGGTAGCGGTGGTAGTGGAGGAGGCGGGTACGCCTCAAATCATTCCTTCTTTAACAATTCCAACCACCCTACTTCGAACAGGAATCCGTCCCCAGGCGGGGCGGAGGCAATCCTGGAGGAGGAGGAGGAGGCGGCGGGGGACCCCCTTTTTCAGGAAATCAATTCAATCCCCCAGCTCCCTACAGTAACATGCCCACAACCATGAAAACTGAGCTTAAAGTCGAGCAATTGCCGGAATGGGATGGCAATCACTGGACTGCCATCGAGTATTTCTGGCAAGTTCAACAACTTGCTTGCTTGGGTGGTTGGATCCCAGAAGCACTGGGATATTGGTTATGGTTCCGCCTGAAGGATAGTTCACCTGTAAAAAGGTGGTTCGTAACCCTACCAGTTTCTCATCAGACTTATATGCGGTCCCACTATCTTAAGTTCATGAAAGGCCTTAAGGATGGCTACTTAGGGCATCGTTGGCAACTGAAAATGAACAGTTACTACAATTCCCAATCATTCCGCAAGAGAAATCACAAACGTGAATCACCCTCTGACTTTAGTGTTTAAAGGTTCAGTCCATAGGACCGCAAAAAACCGGTGGACCGAACTGAACCGGACCATGGTCCGGTCTTTTTTTCGGTTGCAGTTGCCCCAATTTGGGGTTGGTCCAGTTGCCGGTTGCCTCATTTCGAAAATATATTAAAACCGTTCAAAGACCGGTTTTGATCGGTTGCAACCAGTTAAACGGTCACGTGCGTTACATACCCTTGTAACCACGTTTATTACCTTTTATTGGGTTTTTGTTTCATCAAAAACGGTTAAGAATTGAGAAAGATATAACCAAATCCATATTTTACCTGAGTCTCTACGAGAAGTAATTCGGTTTCAGTCATAGCTATGTCAAATCTTCATAAAATCTCTTCAAAATTGGTAGAATGACGGGTATTTACATGCTTTACTATTTTATATAACCCATTTATTTTTCAGAGTAATAATAGTCGAGATACAAATGGTTTATATTGGTATAATAAATTATACACAAAAAAACCGGTCTGGATCGGTCTGAACCGGCTCCATAGACCGCAATAGACCGGTCCTAGGTGGTTCGGTTCGGTTCCCTCAATATCTGGGTCGGTCCTAGACCGGTTGCGGTCCACGGTTGCGCGTTTTGGGGGCAAAAAACCGGACTGAACTGAACTTGCGAACACTAGTTCTAACTACATTATAATTGAAACAAAGTCTCTTAGGCACCTATTTCACAATCGGAGAACATCTTCGTCAACTTGCTGTCCTGTTCAAGTTCGCCACCTGTCAATGAGGAGCTTTGGAGTGAGCTGGCACAATACCTGAGCACAGGACCCAAGAAGGTCAAAGATGCACTTCTCTGGTGGGTTGAAATGTGTGCTGTCTACCCTTGCTTATCTCGGATGGTGCAGAACTATCTATCTATTCATGGTATGTCAAATTTGCATGCCAGTTTGTCATAGGCCTCACCCTCGTTTAGCCACCTCTACCGATGTTGACTGTGTCTTCAGCAAGGGCCGGCTTGTTCTATCTCACATCCGTAATCGACTCAGCATCGCATCAACTCGTGCATTGATGTGTCTTGGGGCTTGGAGTAAGTTGGGCCTTGTCTGTGATGCTGACATTAAGGCTGCAGCCAGCCTTCCAGACGTTGTAGGAGAAGAAGACAAGTTGAGGTTTGGGTGGGATTATATTTCATATGATTAAGTAGTCTTGCAAAAAGTCTAGCTAGCTTGCATCCCACGTTCGCATTTTATTTGACCCTTGCATCCACCCATTGTGGGTTTCTAACCCTTCAAACCCTGTGCAAACCCTCACCCCTACCCTCAAAATACCCTTACCCATGGAAAGGGTACGGGTTTGCGGATTCTGAAGATCTAAGTATGGAGAGGATACAGAAAAGAGAGTGTAATGATGATGGTAAGGAAGAGGTTCATGTATGTTTTACACATATCTTGATGGCAATGTGTATACTATCATTACCCTGGAGCATGTTTGTGTGTTTATATGTCAAAGTCCAAATGGGGATTCCTTGGCAGAGTGTGGAATGGTCCATATCTTCTACCTCTCCTCTGCATCATTTTCTGTAGGGAAAAAACCACAGACCATGTAAATAGACATAACTAGAGTGTGCTTCCAAAATTCAAGCAATTTGGGGCAGAATTGGGGTAGAAACTTAACAAGGGGTCCAACCAAAGGAGGGGGTAACTGTGACAGATGTGGAATTCCCTCCTTCTATATGGTTTACTTTCCATTACCTAGCAGTCACATGACTCCCTTCCATACTTGTCAGCAGTAGTCATGTGACAAGATATCTTCTATCTTTCAAACCACCACTACATATACTCTGCATCAGGATCAGCATCATACCATGTTCCCCCAAGAAGTATTGTAAGTGATTTGAGTTTAGCAGGGTCACTGAATACTCTCATAGAGGTGTTCAGTTACAGCTTGGCTTATTTCTCTCAGTATCACCTTCTTGAGGATTTCCTGAGAAGGAGCAGAGATCATGCAACGGATTTCTGAAGCATCAATGATCTCTGCTACATACTGGCTGAATCCCCCTATTTCTCTCTCTTTGGACCAAGAGAGTCTGACTCAGATCACAGCTGATTGTGACTTGGTCTTCACACCATTGTCATTCCAGCTCACCATATGACTTTCATCAACAGCTCCCCACATTTAACACACAAGAAGTGCATTACAGTAACAATAGTATTCTTGACCTTATTGCAAGACTGTGAGCTGCACAGACAGGCAATGACTGGGCAAATGAACTGGTAGCGACATGGGGACAATAAACTACTTTACATATTTCTCAAATATCTTGCAGATTTTCAGGTATCTTTTATGTGTAACTTAGATAACATTCTTGATCTTATTGCCAGACTGAGCTGCAGAAAGTTCAAACAAATACTGACTAGTAATGACGTGATGGGTATCGTTATGGGTACCCCCGCCATGGGTGTGGGTTTGGTAAGGGTTGGGAATATCAAACCCATACTCTTACCCAAGTGTACTGTGATCCATAACCCTCACAGGTTGCTAAATCTGTGACAATCACTGACTTCAACTACACCTCAATAAACAGAAACAAACACTGAGTACATAGAGATTTTGCTTCTTTTCTGTGTATATATAGCTCAATCATAGAGATGTTAAAGGAATCATAGGTATAGAGGATGTATCAACCACTAAGGGGAATGGAGATGAACAAGAAGAAATAGAGCAGATAACTCCATACAAAACTTGATATGATCCAATGAAACAGGCTCATGAGAATTGGGATAGCTCTGTTGTATGTTTCTACAGATTTTGAAATGCTCAGTGATCATTTACAGCAAGAAAAAAAGCATACCCTCTAAAAATTGGAGAATTCTATGACACCAAAGATTCTATATAATGTAAAATGGAGTTGACTTGCCCACTATATATCTGGAATAAGTGACCTGGTCAAGTAATTTGGAGAAATACATACATTCTAACAAAAAGAATGGTTGAAATGGGGAAGTGCCAGAATCTGAAAATGAATGAAAGACTTACAAGCTACAAAATATGAGCATTCTTTTGTAACAGAAAATGAAAACATACAATCTGAAGGAAAAAAGGAGATATCAGGTGATGGAAATGGGAATAAATGGATAACCTACATCCTAAAAAAAAAGGAAAAGCAGACATGTCATGGATTTGATCCACAGGTGCTGAAATACAACTAACATCCTGGTAGATATTGGTTTGAGATGAATCATCTGATAAAGAAGAATGATAAAATACATGTACATTGAATAAATTAAAGGAACTGGATGAAACTCACAAGACATGCAGGAGAGATAACATACTTTCTGCAAATGAAAAGAATAAGTGGAAGAAAACAGTGAGTAAAATGGATTGAGAAAATGAGATGAGGAACTCAACTGACCATCTGGTATAAGACAGGCCCCAGTCTCTGTCACCAGAAGATTGCACATAAAAAACGAGGCCAACTCACATTCTGAAACAGGACAGGCCACAGTCTGTATCAGCAGAAGAGTGCACATTGAAAACAAGGCCAACTCACTCACTGAAACAAGACAGGCCAAAGCCTCTGTCACCAGAAGAGTGCACATAAAAAACCAGGCCAACTCACATACTGAAACAAGACAGGCCACAGCTGCTGTCACCAGAAGAGTGCACATTGAAAACCAGGCCAACTCACCTCCTGAAACAAGACAGGCCACAGCCCCTATCAGCAGAAGAGTGCACATAAAAAACCAGGCCAACTCACCAACTGAAACAAGACAGGCCACAGCTCTTGTCAGCGGAAGAGTGCATATGAAAAACCAGGCCAACTCACCAACTGAAACAAGACAGGCCACAGCCTCTGTCACCAGAAGAGTGCACATTGAAAACCAGGCCAACTCACTCTCTGAAACAAGACAGGCCACAGCCCCTGTCAGCAGAAGAGTGCACATAAAAAACCAGGCCAACTCACCAACTGAAACAAGACAGGCCACAGCCCTTGTCAGCAGAAGAGTGCACATAAAAAACCAGGCCAACTCACATGCTGAAACAAGACAGGCCACAGCTGCTGTCACCAGAAGAGTGCACATTGAAAACCAGGCCAACTCACCTCCTAAAACAAGACAGGCCACAGCCCCTGTCAGCAGAAGAGTGCACATAAAAAACCAGGCCAACTCACCAACTGAAACAAGACAGGCCACAGCCCTTGTCAGCAGAAGAGTGCACATTAAAAACCAGGCCAACTCACATTCTGAAACAAGACAGGCCACAGCCCCTGTCACCAGAAGAGTGCACATTGAAAACCGGGCCAACTCACCTACTGAAACAAGACAGGCCACAGCCCTGTCAGCAGAAGAGTGCACATAAAAAACCAGGCCAACTCACCACTGAAACAAGACAGGCCACAGCCCTCTGTCAGCAGAAGAGTGCACATTGAAAACCGGGCCAACTCACATCTCTGAAACAAGACAGGCCACAGCCCCTGTCAGCAGAAGAGTGCACATTGAAAACCAGGCCAACTCACCAACTGAAACAAGACAGGCCACAGCCCTGTCAGCAGAAGAGTGCACATTAAAACCAGGCCAACTCACTCTCTGAAACAAGACAGGCCACAGCCCCTATCAGCAGAAGAGTGCACATTGAAAACCAGGCCAACTCACCAACTAAAACAAGACAGGCCACAGCCTCTGTCAGCAGAAGAGTGCACATTGAAAACCAGGCCAACTCACCAACTGAAACAAGACAGGCCACAGCTCTGTCAGCAGAAGAGTGCACATTGAAAACCAGGCCAACTCACTCTCTGAAACAAGACAGGCCACAGCCCCTGTCAGCAGAAGAGTGCACATTGAAAACCGGGCCAACTCACCTACTGAAACAAGACAGGCCACAGCCCTTGTCAGCAGAAGAGTGCACATTGAAAACCAGGCCAACTCACTCTCTGAAACAAGACAGGCCACAGCCCCTATCACCAGAAGAGTGCACATTGAAAATTGGGCCAACTCACGAACTGAAACAAGACAGGCCACAGCCTCTGTCAGCGGAAGAGTGCACATTGAAAGACTAGGCCAACTCACGAACTGAAACAAGACAGGCCACAGCCCCTATCACCAGAAGAGTGCACATTGAAAACTGGGCCAACTCACTAACTGAAACAAGACAGGCCACAGCCCCTGTCAGCAGAAGAGTGCACATTAAAAACCAGGCCAACTCACCAACTGAAACAAGACAGGCCACAGCCTCTGTCACCAGAAGAGTGCACATTGAAAACTATGCCAACTCACATTCTGAAACAGGACAGGCCACAGTCTCTGTCACCAGAAGAGTGCACATTAAAAACCAGGCCAACTTACTCCCTGTTGCCAAAGTATGTATCTTCAGAAGACAGCATTGTAAAAGATATTCTAACTCACTCCCTAAAACCAACATGGCCAAAGTATATCTTTTAGAACTGTGCAAAATGAAATGCAAGCAAGCATACTTTCTAAAATAAGAATGGCAGATCATGATCACCCAAAAAATGGACAAGGAAAGGAAAGGTCAGTGAATAACAGATGCAGTCAGTAAGGGAACAACTTACTATCTAAGAAATGGTATGTTCCACAGAGAATTTAATCAGAACCAATTTATTTCAGAAAGTTTCTCATCACTTACCCACTAAAAAAATCTGTTAAAGCTATACAGAGACAATATGAAGAAACTATATCTTACATTCTGCATTTACAAACAAGCACATTAGCTGTATAAGTAGCTGGATCAACAGTTACTACTCACTTCCTGAAAGAAATGGACAGCTGATGATAATATGTCACATATCATGCAAAATAATTGCCTACAAACTAATGATAACCATTAGGGTATATAAGCCTTGAACAGATTGTAGACATACACTCTGCAAGAAAAACAACAACAAGAGTAAAAGTCTGATTTGCTTGGTAATTGTTTTCTTCTTACTTCCTGTGCTTTATCAACAGCAATAAGATGTTGTTATGTCTTAGCTTACAGTCTGCAAAAAAGGTCAATATTTTATTTTGATACCATTTAGTTATTAATTATTCACACATACCTCCTATTTGTTTTAAGATTAACTTTTGAGCAGCATTATTTGTCCATCACGTACTCTCTGTTGGAAGATCTGAATAAATCAGTGAAAATCTCCTGATTATAAACTCCTACATTCCAGAAAACAATAACTTCTCCAAATATCTCCATCACATTATTTGCAAAAATTGGCTTCTGCAATGTCTTAGATATGTTGAGAGTGTGATACTATCTAAGAATTGTGATAACTCACTTGAAACAGATTTGTTACCTCTTCCTGGCACTCTAACATCTTCTGAACATCAATCAGCATGGTATTATACCATGTCTTAGCCTGAAAAGTTAGTAAATTTGTAATAAGAGTTACCAAAGAAGTGATGATTGTTTCATCTGCATTTAATGCCTCCTTTTGAAGTCCTAGAAGAAGATGGTGTGGCCAATTAAGGCAAGCATATTTGGCCACATGACCCCTAAAAAAGTGTTCTGCAGAGTCTTCTGCCAGATGCCTCAAACAGTGTATGGCAAGATAAAGGTGTTGCAGAGGAGGATCAATGAAGTATTGCCCTGATCGTGATTCAAGGGTCAAAAAATCTCGGAGAGAGGTGTGATAGAGCATAATGGGCTGATCATCTTGTCCAGGAATTTTGATAATTGACTGTACCCCAAATAGCTCAAGAATAACCTCCTCATGCTGAAGATTGAGGAGGGAACTGAGAAAAGGGATAGATTGGTTGTCCTTCAGAATCATGATTGTTCCAAGAATCTTATAAAGAACTGGTGTCCCAGAAGCAGAGGAAAGAACTTGTGAATAGAGTGGATCCAGACCATCAGCTCCAGACTCCAACAGCTGTTGCATTGCTTTGTGTGGCATGGAATTTCCTCCAACAAACTGGATTAATGTCATAGCAAATGCAAATGAGCTGCCAGCCTTGTCAAGGAGACCAGTAAGATCATTGGCTGATGGCCAGGGCTTTGGTATCTTCTGCATCATTAGACGATTCTTGTGTAAGATACAAGCAAACTCCCTTTCAAAGTATACTTGAATGTCTGAACGAGCATCAAAATCCCCCAAGTCCAGATGGTTCAAAAGTCGAGGATCAAAATGATCCAATTTTTTCCGAATGTGCTCCTCCACCCTGCTGGTAAGGAGTATTCGGAAAGGAAGATAGTTCCCTCCAGGAAGTGCATTGAGCAAAACATCAATGAAGGCTGCCATTTCAGCCTTATCATTACATTCATCAAGAGCATCAATAACAAAGATCTTTCGCTTTGTAAGATGAGAGAAGACTAGGAGGTTGGAAGTGGTGGAATGGATTGGTTCTAAAATCAGCTTCTGAAATTGGTGGGCCAAAGAGACAGATGGCCCAAGCATGGCTGGCTCATCTTGAAGAGCCTTCTCAAGCAAAGGCTTAACAGCAGGAGCAGAAAGGGAGATCTGATGTGCAAGAGTAGGAATCAAGCGAGATATATGACTCCGTTCACCAGCACCTCGAAGAAAGAAGAAGCTCCCTAGAAGGCGACCCTTTGCGGCGTAGCGCTCAGCGATGGTTTGAGCAACCGCTGACTTGCCATACCCAGCTGGTCCACTGAGCCAGCAAATAGCTCGCTTGTCAAAGCCGTTAAGCCACTCCTTGATCTGAGCGATGACCTTTAGGCGGGTTCCGGGATCACATCGAGCAACGTGACCCGCACGAGTATGGGTTGCGTTGCTGACAGGGCTAAGCAAGCCCGGAAGACCTAGATGCCATGAACCATTTGACAGTATTGGAGAATTCATATAAAACCTTACATACCTGTGGCAGGAGGGGCCGGAGAGCCATGAACGTTGTTAACGATGTTGTTAATGACGTTAATGAGCTGTGCGTTTCCAGAGATGTTGGTTCCGGTAGCATTTTGCAGGAACGAAGTTTCCATGAGTGAAATGATGTGTTGTAATATGAAAGCTAGGAAAGTTTGAAGGGCTAGAGACGTCGATAGGTCGGGTGGTCGCCGTGGTCGATGATGAAGAGAAGAGATAAGTCGGAGATCAGTTGTGAGAATTCGTTGTCGGAATTCTAATCGCGCGACGGAACTTCACGCAGGCGGCAGAGTTCTGCTGCTCTCAAATACCAACGCAGACCAACGTCAACTCGCACTACCAAGCCAACTCTTGCGACCAGCCCCCGCGAGGTAAATACTCAGACGTGCACCTTTTGGATTAGCAGGCCCCTTAGTATGAGTTCACAATTTCCAGAGAACGACCAGGTCGTCCGAACAAGATCAAAATCTCCTCCGCTGTATGACCTTCTATTTCCTTACCACTATAACTCTCTGAGTCGCATCTAACAGTTTGAATAGCAGCCCACCTCTCTGACTGGAAACAATAACTATTCCTCGATGTCGACCCTCCAACAACCAAAAGCGAAGAAACATCAAACGAAACGAGCCTAATCACTGCCAAAAAATCCCTGCCATTGACATCCACCCCACACCCCATTAACAGCCGTCCAAGCCCATCCCCTTCACACCTGCCACCCTCTTCCTACTCTCCCCATCATGATCTTTCTCTTTCTCTGACGCAAAACACGCGAGAAGAAGGCGAAGTACCACCCAGAACTACCCTCCACCCGATCTCCATACTCATTCAGTCCTCAACGTTCAACGTCCACCTCTTCCTCCATCAACATTCCCCCAGCGATGGCTTGACCCTTTCCTTCCCTAACCCAACCTCGGTTCATCTCGCCTCTCATATACCGCAGCATCATCTGTAGACACCCGCCGTGCCCTGGCATACACGCGGCCTGCGTTTCTCAGACAGACGCCAGATCCCTTTGTTAGCCGTCTTTTCACGGATTGGAACGTCGACGAGCCTCGGACTCGGATGGCATTGGGTTAGAAATGCCGCGGATGGGAATGGAGAGTCACCATCGCGTAGCCGATGATATTCAGATTTTTTTCGAGCTTGGGTGGATCCGCAATGCGAACGGACTGGAGAACTTTTGATCCAAGCACTGCGAGGCAACATCCAACTTCTTACCCTCCTCAAGTCCGAGCTCGATGCCGGAGTCGAATTGGAGCTCCTTGAGGATTGTCACAATTTGTGAAGAACGTGAACGAAGAGGCGCGGCGAGGGTTGATTTTTTACTTTTTGTTGGTGGGCAGGAGACGTAAGAAGGCAATCTCGATGGTCCCACGGACATCTACGTCCCCACGAATGGATGTCGATCCCTCAAACCAAGCAGATCGCACTCGCAAGTCTCTCCCACCGCAACCCATGCCAGCCCATCTCTCCATCTCCTCCCACTCACGCTGCCTCATCTGTGATGCCCTACGAGCGCAGTCCGTCAGTCGTTCTTGGACCTTGATCACCGTACCGTCGACTCGCTTCCATCGTCTCCGGGTACCTTTACCCTGGTCATAGAAGCACCTTGTCAGTCGTTTTGCTGGGACGCACGCTCACGAGAACGTCGACCTGTAGCTCTACATACTCTCTTGTCCAAGATTCGCCGTCCATATGCTCTCTCGATACCCGAGGAAGCTTATGGTCACGGAAAAGGTGTCCACTCTCCTCCGTACCCTACCTTTGAACTGCCTTTCATGACCCAATTGACGGTGTAGCAGCTCACTACGTACACTTTGCAAAAGCTTTTCACAAATTCGAGCGACTCTTTCACCCGATGCCATGGAAACGATGGCCCAATTCGGCGAAGCTGGCTTCTGCACGCTGTTAAAGATGCCGATTGGGCTGAGGTTTCGACAACGAGCTCTGCTGGGAAGCTGAGCCTCGTCGAGGTCTTCGAGGTTCGCTGGCGAAGATGATGACGGTGCTTGAAGGAGCGCTCACGGGTATATAAAAGGGCCTTTGCCATTCACCATCCATTGACATGAGGTTGAGGGTTCTTGGCACAATTGTTGATCTTTCGAGTAAGTCTATCCTCATTCCTATAAGTTATACGGCGATAGCTAACGAATCAGTTGGTTCTTGCTGGATGAGCAACATAGGTGTTGACCTTATCAAGGTGCAACATCGTTTTTTACTGCAGTCCCTCTGTCTCTTGAACCATCTCTCTCTCTCTCTCTCTCTTTGGGACGATGCTACCGCAACACCAAGCATAAAGTCAAGACTCGCAACCGAATCCCTTCCACCTAACTTTATTATGTCAATACGGATGACAGCAACCCAACTTTTTACAATGCCCTCACCTAAAACCTTCCCTGCAGTGGCGCTGTTCCCCTCGTCTCCCATAAGCTAGGCCCTTACGCTATATACTACCTTCCGCCAGACTAGTTGGGTAGACCTTTCACGGACCACGAACGCCCAGCTTCAAGGTCTCGTAGCCGATGCAGGTATCATCGAGTGGCCGGTCGTAGTGGGAGGAACTCAACAAGGGCACAAGTGGTGAGGGATGTTGTGGAATCTCTGAGTTGCATAGACCTACGTGCGCACAGGCAAACGTCGTAGTATTTTCAGTCATACAACCAATTCTTAACATTTTGGCTCTATCTATTTCCTTGAGAATGAGGTAAAAGCGGAATGGCGCCAATTGTGAAATCATGATCACCACGTAGCCAAACACCAACGCCATCCCGTACTTTCAAACTCACAAAAACTCGCAAAACAATTATACTACTACAGTGCTTGTACAGTGCTATCAGTTGAAAAACTCCCGTTAAAGCCCGCAGAACGCCAACTCGCACGACTGAGCCAACTCTTGCGACCAGCTCCCGCCAGGCTCCCGCGAGATTGTACTTTCCCGCCGGCTTACTCGAAAACGGATCTCAAATCTGCCTGCGGCGAGCGTTCTGGGGCGAAATCCAAAATTAGCGGGCACCTTGGCATCAGTGAACAACCAGTTCGTCTCCTCCAAACCCTTTCGCTGCAAGACCTTATATTCCTCACCACTTCTGACAGAGACCAGTAACTAAAGCTCGATGTCTACCCTCTACCAAACAGAGCACTCACCCAAAATCTTTTTCTCCTTGAATCGATATTCGTTCCTCACTCCATTAGCAGCCGTCCAGCCCTATCGCCCTCACACCTGCCGTCTCCACTCTCCCAATCAAAGTATTTCTTTTACGCGAAACATGCGAGTAGAAGGCGAAGTATCGTCCACAAGTACCCTCCATCCCCATCTCCATCCCCGCGCTCATTCGCTCCGCCGGCCTCAACATTCAACGTTCAACCTCCAACTCTTACATCCCCCCAGCGATGGCACAAAAACTTCCCCTTCCGTAGTCCAACTTTGGCCCTATCTCCCTTCTCGTTCACCATGGAATCCTCATGCGGATGCCCACTGCGCTCTAGCATTTCCACGGTCTGCGTTTCTCGGACAGACGGCCAGTTTCCTTTGTTGACCGTCTTATCGCGGGATTGGAACGTCGACTAGCCTCGCACTTGATGGAAATGACGCGGATGGGAATGGAGAGTCACAATGTAGCCGATTATCACCCCCTGTCAGATCTCTTTAAGCTGGGGTGGATTCGCAATCGGAATGGACTGGAGAAGCTCTAGTCCAAGCACTGCGAGACGACATACAACTTCTCACCCCCTACAAACTCGATGTTGATGCTGGTGTTGAATCGGAGCTTCTGGACGATCGTTATAATTCGTGAAGAACGTGGACGAAAAGGCACGGCGAGGGTTGAGGTTTTTTCTGGTGGTGGGACACTGGGTACGGTCGGGAGTAGTAAGAGGACGATCTCAATAGTCCCGCGGACATCTACCTCCCCACGCATGGATATCATTCCCTCAAACTGAGCAGAACCCGCCGGTCAAGTCTCTCCTACCACTATCCCCGCCAACACAACTTTCCTCCACACACGGACCCTCTCTCTCTCTCCGGGATGATGCTACTGTAACACCAAGTGTAAAATGAATCCCTTTCACTCAACTCAACAACGCAGTTTTTGCAACGCCCTCTCAAAGCCTAAAGGGACGTAAAGCGAGCGTTCACCGCTTTTCTTGAGATGTCTGTTCCTTTATGGTCCTCCCTCCATCCATTCTTTGGAACTTTCTTCACAGAACCATCGATATGGGGCTTTCTTTGCGGCATCAATCACGCCGCAAACACGAAATGTGTACTTACGACGAAGGATGTCAATTCTGTACATGAAGTTTGTTCCATTGAGCAGCGCAATTGACATCTGTGAGGTGGTCACGTTCGAATCTTGCGGATGCCGTCGCCGAAATGTCGCCTCTCAAAACTTTCTGGAGCAAATGTCACATTCTTCTGAGCAGGAAAAGTTGGAGAAGGAAGTGGCTGAAAAGAAGGTCTGGCGACTCTGAGAAAAGCAAGTTATCGGTTGATCCCTCTTGCTTCTTACTCATGTTAGCTTCAATAGCTACGAGTCACTTTACTCCTCCTTCGTTGCTCTTTGAAAGTCTCACGAGACTTCGGAAGCTTTGCTTTCACAAGCTGTCGCCGAGGCGACTGAGATTGAGCGGTCTGCACTAGGCTAATGAGCGACTTGTCCCGGCGCAATAAAAACGCGGCGTTGCCACTGAGGAGGCACCCACTCTGGCTGGCGGAGAATGAGGCCAAAGAAGCAAGAACAGCGAGGGAGGAGCTTCCTAGTCGGCTTGATTTGGAAGAAATGTCTGTGATAGCGATCGCTGAGGATGACGAGGCTGCAGCGACGAGGGAGTCTGGGCAGATCAAGATCATGACAGCTCGAGCCGAGGAGTTGAAGGCAAGGGTGGTCGAAATGATCAAGCATGCGGAAAAGCTTTTGACTCGGTACCATGATGCGAACTTGGTAACTTCATTTTTTTTTCTTGTAAACTCATCCTGACTTGATTCCAACTTTTGTAGACCGACCCAGAGAAGGACCTGGTGAACCACGTTATCCTACAAACGCAAACGAGTTACGAACAGGACGTCGTTGCTAAGGATAACGAGCTTCGAAGAGTTAATGTTATCATATTTGTGTTGAAACCTAATGACTTTGATCTCCCAGCGTGAACACCTCGCAACTGGCCTTAATAGGCGAATCCACTCCTTGGAGGCGGCACTGGCGCAGATGCTAAAAGAGAAGGCCAAGAGTGCCGGGCCAGACGCGAAGACTTTGTTAAATTTCCGGATGTGGCTGCCCTCGAGCCCAATTGACGAGACATTGCAAGCTTTGGTAATGTGTCCATGTATACGCTCCTCTGATTTTATCTTTATTGGCTCATCATCATCATAGGCCGATAATGCAATGAAGCAAACGATCCTGAAGCGGCGCCGCCGCGCAGCGCTCATCACCAGATCCAGCCCACCTCTCTTTACCGGCCCCAAGTCCCAAACAACTTGAACAGGAAGAAATGATCAAACCACCATCACCCATCTCAAAACCTCAGCCCAGGGCAACTAATCAAAAGAAGAAGAGCTTCAAGGCCCTTGAGGACGCCGATTTGGACTATCAGTATGACAACAGGGACAACGATCTGAACGACTTGTCCGATCTGGAGCTTTCGTCACCAACAGGGAGGTCCATGAGAAAGCGAGGGTCGTTCTATATCACCGCCACCTATTGTGACCGTCGAGGAGCCTGTGGGGACAAAACGAAGCTTGGTATGCACGTTCCTCTGCTCCGATATTCCCCCGCTGTTTTTCAACTCCATTTTTCTGGGAGTTCAGAATCCGGCTGTCGTTACGGCGCCTATCATCCCGTCCCCGCAGGAAGAAGTTTCGGTTTCGACTTCCCCAGTAAAGTCCCTGATGGGCCTGCCAAGACTTCTCAGAAGAAGCGCAAGTGGCTGGTTCGTTCTCGTTATCAATGTCCTGTTGTTCGATCGTTTTGCGTTGCTTGGGACTCTGTTTTCCTAATCCGACTGGTTTTTCCCTGTATGCTCTGGCATCTCTCTCGGGTTTTGCTCTTAGGCAATTGTAAATATCTCCTCCTTGGCTAATTATGGACGTTTGTCGCCGTGACGATTGTACATAATTCTTACTGTGTTTCTCGAGTCGTTTGCACATCTGATGAAGAAACTTCTGTGATGATGAATGGGTTGGACTGGGAACGGAAAAACGAATGGTGCTTTCCTGCCGCCCTGGCCTGGTTTGAGAGTCGGCGGTCGAATGGGCCGGACTTATGTACGAACCAGTTACAGAAAGCAATGTATTTGTATAGATGGGAACCAAATGAGAAACATTTTTTTTGTGAAGCGATGGGTAGCTTGTCGTAACAGGCTGGGATGTGACTTGGCGCGAAGTACTGGAGCCCGCTTCAAAGGCCAATACAGTTTCACTTCCCGTTTCCTGAAAAATGGGACTGTAATTGCAAGCTACTATCGTATGAATTTGAATCTACAGACACCCAGAGTCTCTTCTCATTGTAGAAAAGTAAAATTGAAAACAACCCCTTGAAATATCTTGAAACGGAAGCAAATTCACGATGGTAGCAACGTCATACAAACGATCGACCCGGGTCAGGTTCGGTATTTTATTTATAGATGGGGACTTGTAATTGGTTCCCTTGCAATTGGTTGCAATTGGGGACGACCACCGAAGATAAGAGATACTCAAGGCTTGTAATTATGGACGCGTCTCACACGTGCATGCGTAAAAATTCCACAATCAGCGAAATCCGTCGTCTAGGAAAGTAAAAACCACACCTACCCCTCTGATCAAAGGGGCCGACGGGTCCCTAGAGTCTTAACCCATGGGCCATCTAGGTTTGTTTTTGTAGCGGTTCTGCCGCGAGAGCAGTGATGCTATGAATAGAACATTGGTGTGTTTCCCACTGCGACGACGTCATTATTCCTATCAACTCGCAGTCAGCTGTTATTATTATTAGATACATTACAGTGTGATTGAACAGCCTCAGGTTATGGACACCCCAGATTTCTTTTTTTGTTGGAACTTGCCAGTGGCCGGGCGGGTTGAGTGGGATCGTTGGAGTGGGATGGTGGACCTTGTGAACGGTGGTTCATGTGTTGCAGTAGTGATAAAACTTTGTTTTGAAGGCAGAGGCGAGCCGATTCACTTGATTTATAATGGGCACCTGAATAAAAAGGTTAGACCGTGAAGTAAAAACAGAACTTACCCACTGACTCCATTTCCGACAACGGAGATAAAAATATACCTACATAGTTGCCGGACACCGTGTAGGATTGAAATTATTTTCAACACGAAAAAAAAAAAAAATCCGACGCCAGTGCCAGTGGTACGCGTGTCGTCATAAGGATGTGCGTGCTGGTCATCCCGGGAGGATCTTTGAGCAGCACGCGCGGCGAGGACCTGCAGATGTAGGATTCAGATATGAGTTTTGACTTGTGGTATTGTTGACTTGCATAGTTGTACTGTTTCGTGAAGTCTTTCACAATACTAATTCAAGTCAGCGCATTCCGGGCCATAAAACCACGAGACTCTATAGCGTCCAAAACGCAACGGTCACCACCCCGTCAGACGCCAATATAATCATATCGTCGAACAACTGACAGTTGAACGGCTGTCACCTTGAACTTTCAAGTTCGGCCGGTCCCGACGGGAGTCACAATGTACCTGAGCTTTGTGTGGAATCGAACAGCCTGCTTGGAGACTGAGAACAGGTGAGCCGGCAATGGCAGTTGAATATTGAATGACAAGGCTTGAGTGTTGACTGTCACGCCGGTTGACGCGTCGACGTGCCTTGAGCTTGGGCGGGGTGCCTTGCTTCGTCCTTGGGCCTTGGCTAGCCTTGGGTAGATAAACGCCAGACGCCAGTGCCATGCTTTCTGCACGTGTGGGCAGACGCTGGTGTAGTGTGGTCAGGTTTTGTAGACGCGTGCGCTGCGTGGTTGGTGGATAGATAACAGGGCCACCGCTATCTTTTTTTGTTTCTTTGGGCAGGCTATGCTTGAGATGAAATGAGGTTCAATTGAATTGAAAAAAAAGAGTTATGAGGGTATAAGGAGACGTCGACCTTGCTCCGGATAAGATTGCCATTTCCGAACTTGGTCAGATGAGCACTCGGCCTTGGGTTCAGGTTATTTACTTGCCGATTTTCTTGAACTCTGTGCGAGCTGCTTGGCAAGATAAGTGTGGCGGGACAAGTGCTTTGCACGTGTTGGCAGAGCTGCGTGGTTGGTGGATAGATAACACGGGCTTTTTTTTTTAATGGCTAGCTCGATGCTCGAGATGAAGTGAGGTTCAATTGAATAAAAAAAATGGGGGGGTACCGACTCCTATCGACTTTGAATGCTCCGGATAAGGTTTGCGATTTCCCAAAAGCGCCAGGTTGTTTACTTGCCGATTTTCTTGACGCTGCTTGGCCTGCACTGCGCAGATTGCCCTGTGAGTCACTGCTTAGATTAGATCATGGTGACGTATATAGAGAGCGATCAGGGGGTGGTGAAAGTCGGCGGAGAGCAGTCACAAGAGCCTAGAGGAGGAATGTGAAAGAATGTAAAGGCCTAGGGAACCCGAGGAGGCCGACGGATGGATCATGATGCATGAGTGGTGGTGATAGCTATGGGTACACTTGACACGACACGACGTCGCATGTCAATGTCAGTACGCCAATGTAAATAAGGTTGGGGAAAACATGGGCTGTTGCATGAGAAGCGGGGTGTAATTTAGAAAGCAGTGTAGGTTGAGGAACTTGAGAAGATGCGCCGTTTTTGGGTGGGTTGGGTGACGAGGGGGATGGGATCTCCAGGCACTTCTTCAAAGGAGATAAGCGACAAATATCCGCGATTCTGAGCTCGATTGAAAACGTGCGTGACTTTGTTCCTGGTGAACCAGTTCTCGGTACCTGACCGCGTTCGCTTGCACTGGGAAAAGTGAAAGATAAAGTTCAAAAGTGGATCTTCTCTTTGAGTAAGTATGTATAGAGATGATTGATATGACTGCTGTACCTGGCTGGCGTCAATAATCCAAACCCCTCAATCCCCCCATCATCATCATACTTATCTCTTACTTGAGATGCCCGTGCGCACCGCTGACGACCCACTCGACGAGGTGCTCAAGCCACCTCCGGACGAGTCTCCAGAAGACCGTGCGGTAAGGCTGCAGAATGAGGCAGAGGCAAAGAGAGTTAGCTTGGCTATTGATGCTAGCATCAAGGCTGAACGACATGCGAGGAGGAAAAAGAGGATTGTGAGGCTGTTGTTGCTGGGTCAGAGCGAGTCTGGTGAGCTTTGTGGTCGTTTTGACCTACACTGTATTTATGAGAGTGTGTTTAGGGAAATCAACAACTCTACGACGTACGTCCACCTCTGTTGTTTTTTTGGTAGATATGAAAAGCTTATCGCCACCCTGCAGAATTTCAACGACTGTATACACCCACCGCCTTTCGCGAGGAACGTATCCTCTGGCGCGCTGTTATCCAACTCAACATCGTCAGGTCAATACGCACCATCCTCGATGCTTTGACCTTTCCTTCTTCAACCTCACCACACACATCACCGTACTCGTCCCCTCGTTCAAGGGCCCGCACCATCTCCCGGCCGCCATTACCAAACCACCCACACGAGCAACACAACGGGAACGGGAACGACACAACACTAACCTTTGGCTCTTCCTCACCCCCGCGTGTCAGACACCACCACCACCACCACTCGCCCCCGTCCAACCCAGATTCAGACGGAGACTCCGAGTCTGATTTCGTTCATCCCCACCACCACCCCCACTACCGCAGCCCACGCTCCACCTCCCCACTCACACTAGCCCAAAACACCCCCCTAGACGCACTAAAAGCGCGCTTGTTACCCCTGCGCCATATCGAGGCTCTCCTCATCGCAAAACTCGTCCCGCCCAACGAGGAAGAGGCGACGCATTTCGCTCGTCCTGGTCCCCCTGGTGTTGGTGTTGGTGCTGGAACGAGTGCAGGGTCTTCCTCCGGGGCGAGTTCTACGTCGGGTGGGACGGGGAACCACGCGTATAGGAACCAAGAGATTTTCGTTAGGCCTGGGACGGGGTGGAAAGGCGGTTTAGCGCGTGCTAGGGTTACTTATCCTGGGTCTGGGTATGGGTATGGCGATCATCATGACGGCGCGAAGCAAAATAAAAACGGGAAGGGGAGTAGTGGTGGGAATGGGACAAGACCGATGAGCGCCGGTACCACGGGATTAGAAACACAGGATGAGCCGCAGGAGGTGTTGAATATGTGTAGGAGGGATATGATTGCGCTTTGGAATGATGAGGGTGTTAGGGAGGTGTTGAGGAGGAGGAAGATTAGGATTGAGGAGGAGTCGGGGTTGTGAGTTTTCCTTCTCTTTTTCCTTTTTGGAAATGTATTTCTAATGCCGTCGTTGTAGTTTTTTGGACGACCTGGAGCGCTTGACGTCGCTCAAGTATATGCCTACGGATGGTACGTCCCCCCCTTCCTTCTTCCCCCTCCCTCTTCCCTCCTTAAACACAGCTAACACCCCATGTGAACAAACAGACGACGTCCTCAAAGCCCGACTCAAAACCGTCGGGGTATCAGAGTACAGATTCGAGATGGAAGCGACTGCGGGGAGGGATAGCGGGACGGAGTGGAGGATTGTGGATGTTGGTGGGAGTCGGAGTCAGGTTGGTTTTTTCTCCTCCTGCTTTGTTCTTCTCTTCCTTCATTCGATCAAAATAATCTAATCACCCTTTTCATTCCAGCGTCGTAAGTCCCACCCTCAACCCACTCCTCAATATCCCTAATTCAAAACCACGTACCGTTTAGCTACGTGGGCGCCCTTTTTTGATGATGGTACGTCCCCCTTTCTTTCTTCATGCGTAAGTTGATGTATTTTTTCCGCAGTGGACGCTATTATCTTCTTGGCACCCATATCAGGGTTCGACCAAGTCCTTTCTGAGGATCGGACGGTGAATAGGCTGGTAAGTTTTCTTTCCTTTTAGTTGCTTTGATTATTCGCTCTTCGTCGTTCGTTCGTTTGGTGGAATTGTTCGATGACATGACGGTTGGCGGCGGTCTGCTCCTCCCCCCTTGCCTCCCCTTCTCTGTGCCTACCTTTTCGGTAGCCTTGGTTACCCACTTTCCTTTCACTTGCATCCGCTTCGACTTTGATGGTTTTGGCGGTTTTCTCCCGATAAGTCCGAGACCGTTCTACCCCTTGCCATACCTTTCTCACCTCCAAATCTCCGGACTTCACTTCATCTTTTCTCCGTTTCTTTTGAGAGTTTAGCTTTGTCTGTCTAGCAGTCTGATGACGGTCTTCCCCCTTCTTTTCTTGCTATTCCTCCCCCCTTTTGGTAGTTTTGGGTCGCCCAAGGACGTTCTGCGCCTTGCGACCCCTGCCTGTTCTTCTGATAGTTTCGTTAATGTCTGTCCTGCATTTTCTCTTCTTGCTTGGGTCGCTACCTTCATTATTCATCTAGAAGTTTAATGGTGTTCTACCCCTTATCCCCCCTTGTTTGCAATCCTACCTCTGCTTCCTTTTTCCGCTTCCATCTCTGTACTTTTGAAACTTTTGCTCACCCTGCTTTTAGGAGGACTCCGTACTTCTCTGGAAAGCCGTCTGCTCAAACAAGCTCCTCGCCAACGTTGATCTGGTCTTATTCCTCAATAAATGTGATATCTTGGACAAGAAGCTCAAGTCAGGAATCCAGTCAGTCTTAGCCCTTTTCTCCATCGATACTTTATTTCTGACTTTCGCGTTAAGAGTGTCAAAGTACATCCGCAGTTACGGGGACAGGGAGAATGATCTGGATAGCGTTTCCAAATGTTTGTTCTCTGCTTCTTCCCTCTTCGAACGATTCTTCTGATTTGCATGCATACATACATAGACCTCCGGAGCAAGTTTAGCGCCATCCACCGAGAATACTCACCTAACCCAAGAAAATTTTATGCGTTCTGCACGAGCGTGACGGATACGGCTACTACGGCTGGTATCATCGCCAGTGGTGCGTTTTGATCATCTTTTTTTATTGGGTGGTGTGATGATGAAGGAGTGCAGTGAGAGATATGGTTATCCGACAACATTTGAAACAGTCTAAACTTCTATGACATCGATAGTATCGAAGGCTATGCCTATTGACCATTATGTTGGTTCCACTATTGAACTGAACTACCGTTCGCGACCGCGACTGCGACATGAACAACCACATCTCTATATATTGGTGCACCCCCCGAATATCGAGTCTTGGACGGACTCGATCGCTAATGTATCATAACCGCACACCCCACCCCATCTTGGCTTGCTTATCCTGTTACACCCAGCGGCATCGATCAATCACACACAACCTGCCGGCCGCGGCGTCGTACCACACAAACAGGCACACAACGTCCCACTTCCCATCGCTTGTTTTGCTATTCTGTTGTACAACTTTCTTCTTTTTTTCTGGAACCCGTGCATGTACAACCCCCCGCGGTCTCATTTGCTGTCATGTACCCATCATCATCAACATCATCGTTGTCTATGTATCATTTCGGTTTTTCTTCTCTCGTTCTTGGTGCCCCTTTTTCCGGGTTTTAGGTTATCGTTTTCCCAGTTGCAACTTATAGATAGTACATGTCATGGCATTATACATAAGGACAGGAATCCTTTTCACTTCGGGGCGTACTACTGCATGCTTGCTATGTACATACTAGCTAGAATTCAAGCTGCTTGCTTTTGCATGAACGGTAGCTTTGCTTGCTTGATAGGTACGAGAATCAAGATGACCTTTGGATTCTGATCATGATATCTGATCCTTAGAATCAAGATGGCAGCGATCAAAAGAAGATAATGCCATACCCAACAAGGTCGGGGGTGGAATTCAAAGGTGTCGGTGACCTCTCCCCGTGGAGTGTGTCTTCCTTATCCAAGATGTTGAAGAGAGAAAGGTACCGATGGAAGATGGGGGAATGATGGTGGTGCATGTGGGCTGGTGACGGGATGATGAACCGCTCGAGCTGAAAGCCAAGTGGGGGTTCTGGAAATGACGTGGTTCGTCCGATGAGCCTTCCGCCGCCCCACCTGCCCGCCCGTGCTGTAGTTGATCCGTTCATGCTTTGTTCTTCATTGTGAGGAAGCCGTGGGGCCCGTGAATGATATCTTCATTTTTCATATCCTGCGGAAGCGGACGAAAACATGATTGCCCAATGACCTGCATCCGAGCTCCGCGGAGTTTAGCAGGTGAAGAAGGGATACGAAACCAGGTCCGTGGATGATTAAAGCAGCCAAGATTCGTCAAAGCTTCAAGGACCGACTACGATGTTTCAAGAGCAATTTGGGGTCGGTGGGAGTCGTAGCATGGCGAGGACGTTGTTGAACCAGAAGCTAACCAAAGCCCCAAGAGAGTTTCCCCAGATGCATGGAGAACGAAGGATGATGGGGTCAATATGGAACTTGAGCGGGGATTTTCGTCCGTAAAACCGATTCGGAACTGAATTTCTAACAGCGATCGACGTCCAAAAACCATACGGAGGAGATGATAACCACGCTCGTATTCGGAGAGAGGGTGGGCTTGGCGCGGACGACAGAAGAAGTACGCAGTTCCCGAAAAGTTGGGTCCAAGTTGGGTCACCATAACTTACCAATGGCGGTATCCTCTCTGAAACGCGGATGCTGGCCGACCATTGTGGTACGGGTGCTGAGCGTTGACCATCCGGGACCGCGCCTCACACGTCTACCACTCGGATATCAGATTCGACCTCCAAAACAATTTCTTCCGATGCGATTTAGATGTGCCAGATGACGCACGGATCCACATCATCCTCAGAGCAGTCCTTTGTGAAACTCGAATCAAAGGGCCTTCGGATGGTGCAGAGCTCGCCAGGATCGAAATGAACTTTATTCTCTGACTTAGAGGTCGAGTCCATCTTTTAGAGTCTGTTCACGTCCCGAACTGCGATCTGTGCTGCATACGTAGATGCGCTGGCATGCCGCAGCAGGATTCGAGATCTATGTCCATTTTTCTTAACAGTTTGACAAGCTGGCGGCTGTTGCCAGAAATGACGATGCCCTTGATCCACACGAATTTGCTCTTCTGATTGTCTTAGCTTGGGAACAAAAGTTTGCAGGAGTAAAGCCCGAAGGAGTTTATATGGTGCGCGATTCACGTCTTAAATCACTTCTTGGAGATGTGCACCGTATTCGAATGACGGTCCACAACATTCCGGACCATTTATGCCCCAGCAATCTCCTTGTCGAGTATCCTCCAACTGCGACCGGCCACTCGATAATACTTGCGTCGGCTACGAGACCTCGAGGCTGCATGTCCGCGGTCCGCAAGGGTAAAGGTCTACCCAACAGTCCGGCGGAGAGTAGTGCATAGCGTGAGGGGCTAGTTTATGGGAGATAAGGGGAACGGCTTCACTGCAAAGGGGGTTTTATCTGAGAGCGGTGCAAAAGGTGGGTTGCTGTTATCTCTCGTTGACATGATGGAGTTAAGTGAAAGGGATTCGTTTGCGAGTCTCGACTTTATTCTTGGTGCTGCGGTAGCATCGTCCCACAGAGAGTGTGTGTTGGCGACTCTCCATTCCCATCCGCGTCATTGCCATCAAGTGCGAACCTAGTCGACGGTTTAACCCCGCGAAAAGATGGCTAACAGAGGGAACTGGCCGTCTGTTTGAGACATCCAGGCCGCGTGTCTGCAGGGCACGGTGGTGTCTGCATGACGATGCCGGGGTATACGAGATGCGAGATAGGGCGGATGTTGGGTTAGGGATGGGGGAGGTTTGGGCCATCGCTGAAGTTGAGGAGCGAATGAGCGTGGGGATGGGGGGGAGGTTAGTTCTGGATGACACTTCGCCTTCTTCTCGCGCGTTTTGCGTTGGAGAAACTTGACGTGGAGAGTTCGGAGGGTGTGGCGAGTGAAGGGGATGGGTTGGATGGCTGTTGGTGGAGTGTGCGGTGGACGTCAATAGCAGGTATTTTTTTGCGAATGCTATATTTTCATTAGACTTCTTGTTCATCATTTCGTTTCGTTGCAGGTTCGACATCGAGGTATAGTTATTGTTTTCTGTCAGAGAAGTGGGATGCTATACAAACTGTTAAATGCGAGTCAGAGAGTTATAGTGGTGGGGAAATAGAAGGTCTTACTGGAAGTTTTCGGAGGAGATTTTGATCTTGTCCAGGCGAACCAATCGTTCCCTGAAAATTGAGAATGGGGACTTGTCATAAGAGTTGGCTCGGTAGTGCGAGTTTGCGTTGGTATTTCTGAGCGGCATTGAACTCTATCTCCGACTTCTTCGTCATTGACCACAACGACCACCCGACCTATCGACTTCTTCAGCCCTTGGTCTCCATATTACAACACATCATTCCACTCATGGAACCTTCGTCAACCGCCGCACTGCTGCAAAACGCTATTGGAACCACTATATCTGGAAGGGCACAGGTCATAAACGCCGGCCGTGATGTTGTCCTTCATCCCCCTCTGCCCGCTGCAAGTATGTCAAGGTTTAACAATCCATCACGATAAGATAATTGATAGCATGTAGATCTAGCCAGCTTGCTTAAGCCTGTTAGCAATGCTACACATACTCGTGCAGGTCATGTCCCTCGATGTGATGCTGAGACTCGTTTGGACGTGATTGCTCAAATCCGACAGTGGCTCGATGGCCATGTTAATGATAAGCGAGCTGTTGTCTGCTGGCTCAATGGACCAGCTGGCTATGGCAAATCAGCATTGGCACAGACCATTGCAGAGTGCTATGCTGCAGAGGGCCGCCTTCTAGGGAGCTTCTTCTTTTTGCGAGGTGCTGGTGAACGCAGCCATATATCTCGCCTAATTCCTACTCTTGCCCATCAGATTTCTTGCAATGTTCCTGGCACAAAGCTGTTGATTGGAAGGGCCATTGAGGATGAGCCAGCCCTTCTAGGGTTGACTGTCTCTTTGGCTCATAGACTTCAGAGACTCATTGTCGAGCCAATCTGTCTCAACACTTCACAACACTTGGAAACTGTCATTCGTTCCATTGTTGTTATTGATGCTCTTGATGAGTGTGATGACAAAGCTCAGATGGCGGACTTTGTTGAGGTCTTGCTCAATGCATCTTCTGGCAGAAGTCACCTTCCTTTCCGGATTCTCCTCACTAGCAGGGTGGAGGAACATATTCGAAAAAAGTTTGATAGTTCTAAAGCTCGGTTTTTGCACCGCCTGGAGCTGCAGAATTTTAATGCTCGTCTAGACATTGAAGTATACTTTCGGATGGCATTTGATCGCATCTACAACCAAAATCAGCGAATCATGCAGAGAGAACCAAAGCCCTGGCCATTACCTGGAGATCTCTCTGCACTTCTTGACAAGGCTGGCAGTTCATTTGCGTTTGCCACAACATTGATCAAATGTGTTGGTGGATCTCAGAAGCCATACAAGGCCTTGCAAAAACTTCTGGCATCCAAAGTTAATGGTCTAGATTCACTCTATGAAACAGTTCTCTCTTCTGCTTTCTGGACAGAAGAGTTTCGTCAGATTCTTGGGACAATCATGATACTGGGGGATAACAAGTCTATTTCTTTTCTCAGCTCCCTCCTCTTTCTTCAACATGAGGACATCATCTCTGAGCTATTGAAAGTGCAGTCCATTATTAAAATTCCTGGAGATGACAATGAGCCTATTATGCTCTATCACACATCTCTCCGGGATTTTTTGAACACCAGATCACGATCAAAACAATATTTCATTGATCCTCCTCTGCAACACCTCCATCTGGCTATATACTGTTTGAAAAATCTGGCAGAATACCCTTCAAAAGACTTTTTTGAGGGTGACATGGCTAGCTATGCTTTCTGGAATTGGCCATACCATATTCTTTCAGGATTTCAGATGCAAGAGTCAATAGTTGAAACAATGACAACCTCTTTGGTAACACTTATAAAGGATTTGCTAACTTTTCAGGGTGAGACATGGTATAATACCATGCTAACTTTTGAAGTTTCTGAGAAGGCAAGAATGTTGAAGTATCTGAGAGATGGGAGGGCTTTCTTTCAAGTGAGTTATTGGAACTCTGACATGATTATCTTACTCTTAACATGTCTAAGAAATTGCAGGGGTCAATTGTTACAAAGAATTTAACCAAGCTCTTTGAACAGTTTATTGATATTTGTGAAGTAAGAGTCAATTATTAGGGATATCAACTGATTTATCAAGATATTCCAACAGACAGTAAGTAATGGGAGAGTAATGCTGCTCAAAAGTTAATCTGCAAGATGAATAGGAGGTATGTGATAATAATCAGTAACTTA